CTTAATAATGCAGAAGAGGTTACTATTCAGAAATATTCATCATTCAAAATTATCCCGCAAAATTTGAGTTCCAACATTAGAAACCGTGATTCTATGGGAGAATTAGCGTTAATAAAATTATATTTTTTTTTTACATCGATCCGCAATGAACATATCTAGTCCAGGCCTTTCTTAATTACATAGGTCATGGAAGGTACTAACGTTAGTCCCTTCCATACATAGGTCAAACTCTTTACGGAGCCTGACCTATTATAAATGGGCGTATGGACATACCGATGCCAATTTTTTAATGTAACACTACTCTTGAGAAATAGAGGCAACTACTACGGTAGTATCTGGGAATAACACACATTGCGAAATGCACACTACAGAGAGGTACCATGTATCCACGGTCTGAGCATGTAAGTCTGTACTGTGACCCCGCCAAAACATGTCACGTGACAAACGACTTCCCGCGTCAGTGCTAATCACTCTGACCTTCACAACTCCGGAAACAAAAGTCGAACCTAAAAGAAAACATCGGTTCTTTAAAAAAAAAGCGGGAAATTGCTTCATTTGAATAGAAATTCACTGATTGGGTCAAAAGGAACGCATGTGATTGGTCAATCTTAGATCCTACTTGGCGGGAAAATTGGGGATAAAAAGGGTTGACCAAACGCAGATTACACCATAACTGCATTTGCTGTCTGTGTTATACGTTTAGTTATCACCGAAAGAAACCTTCATAATGTCTGGTCGTGGAAAAGGTAAAGCAAAGGGAACCAAGTCAAAGACTCGTTCAAGCCGTGCCGGTCTACAGTTCCCCGTCGGTAGAGTGCATCGATTCCTGCGTAAAGGCAACTACGCCGAAAGAGTTGGTGCCGGCGCACCAGTGTATTTAGCCGCCGTTCTCGAGTATTTAGCCGCAGAAATCCTCGAGTTGGCTGGTAACGCCGCCCGCGACAACAAGAAATCAAGAATCATTCCACGACATTTGCAGCTGGCCGTGAGAAACGACGAAGAATTGAACAAATTGATGTCCGGTGTCACCATTGCACAGGGCGGGGTACTGCCAAACATTCAGGCTGTACTTTTGCCAAAGAAGACTGGGTCACACGCCAAGAAGACCTCGCAGTCGCTCGAATATTAAGTACACTGTTGGTATATAACCACACAAACCAAACGGCCCTTTTCAGGGCCACCACATCCTTCAAAAAGAGAACTATCGACAATAATTGTTTTGTGTGTGTGTATTTGACCTCCGGTGATAGATTATAACGCGTCAAAACCCATTAGTTTATAATCGACAATGACATAAATAATTTGTACGTGTCTTGTCATCACAAGGAAGAAGGGTTAATAGCAAGTGATTACAACTGTTGTAATTGCATAATTTGTTTTTCACAAATTGTACTTGTAAAACTCGTACTCCAAAATGCAACTTGTAATTCAAACCCTCACTATTTCGCTGTGACGAGTGATTCCCCATTGGTGTATTGGCATACTAGTGTAATATGATTTAGTCTTTTTAGAGAGCGCCGTCTGTGACCTCCAGTGCCTTTCAATCCTCGACTAATTTCTGTCGTTAGTGGCGTAGTTGAAAATTCATGACAATTCAGCGCGTTCAGTCAATATTTGAAGAATGTTCCCATAGGTCTTTGCGCGTTAGCGCAGAGTTCGACTAAAGGGCAAATGTGTTGCCATCTTAACAGGCTTAATATGATGTTTACGCTTATGTTCAACCTGTCACTCGTATATATATATAGCAAATACACTGTGCTTCAACGAGTGTGCGACACACTTGTTGTCACTGCTGTAAACTACACTGGTATATAACTATTATTATAGGGTCACGGTCGATGATCCGCCGTGGATCTGGATAGCTACACCCTGGGCTTCGTTATTATCGATAGGGAATCAGACCACTATAGGTAGGGTCCGACCCGAACACCGACGCTGACAGAATAAAGCCGTCAAGGCCAGACTTTTTTTTATTGTTTCTCGAGTTTTTAAACGGCAATTTTTTTGAGGAGGGCTGAACAATATAAAATTAATTCTTTTTTTGCCATTAGATTTGTGTGCTTCTCAAATAATTGTAAGTGAAATCATTGATCGGAGAGAAGAAATGAAATAAAATTTTATTCCATGTATAACCTTGTTTCTCATCTGCGCGAGATTTCGATACTTAAATCATGATACTTCCACGAAAATGCAACTTGGATTTGTTATGCGGCGGGCGGTAAAAAAATGAAGATACAAGTACTTTTTTAGCATTTTTTTTCGCTTACAAGTCGGCGGGCGCGAGAAATTATGCTGAAATAAAATTTTATTTTATTTTCGGCTCCTGTTCATTCGGCGGGTTCGCGAAACAAGGGATAATAAAGGACTGGCCCGAGTTTTTGGCGGCTAGTTAAAGTGGAAGGGTCATCATCTGCGCACTCGCGGGAATTGAGTCCCAAGCGACGATAACAACAGGGGGGATTGGCACGAGAGGACGCCATCCGATCTGAATGGAACGTTTCGACGTCAATCGTCCGTAGCCCATCGTCAAAGCAACAACGTCCCATTTACAAACAGATGAAATAATTTCAGCAATTTCTTTACAGAATAATCCTCAACAAAACTTAGAAACATTTCATAGGCAAATACAGGCTCCAAAATTATGTCTATTGCAAAACAATTCAACCGACAGCCAGTTTGACGCCACAATTTCTTGCTGGAGCCTGAGTTCTACGCGTGATTTTATTGCGTTCAAAACTGTTATATTTCAAACTGCCCATGCACACACACTGTGGTTTCTCGAAATGCATACTAATTAGGTAACTTGTCACTGATAAAAGTCACCGAAAACATTTTGAGCAATAGTACTAGAGTGAAATTTAAACGTGCCTCTGCATTATCCATGAATATCGCAACTTGCTATGATCATGGTAAAGAGAAAACCTGGGCTTACTTTCAACATTTAGCTGGAGTCCCATCGAAAACGTGTTTCAAAAAAATACTTTTACATCATTTTTCCGATTATTTTTTCAGCTCGTAACGATAGAATCAGTCAATTTAGAACTAAGCAAATAACACCGAATAAACGGCAAGGTAAAGACTATGTCTAATTATAGTAAATACGTACT